CCTCCATTGTGTATTCTTGCCTCCTTTGTCAAAAATAAGGTACCCATAGGTGTGTGAGTTTATCTCTGGGTTCTCTATCTTGTTCTGTTGGTCTATATTTCTGTTTTTGTGCCAGTATCATACTGTCTTGATGACTATAGCTTTGTAGTATAGTTTGAAGTCAGGAAGGTTGATTTCTCCAGCTCCGTTCTTCTTTCTCAAGATTGGTTTGGCTATTCAGGGTCTAGAATGTGGAAGGAACCTAGTTGTCCATTGACAGATGGGTGGATAAAGAAGCTGTGGTACATATATATGATGGAATAGTACTCCACCATAAAAAGGAACGTATTTGAGTCAGTTCTAATGAGGTGGATGAACCTAGAACCTATTATACAGAGTGAAGTAAATCAGAAAAAGAAATATATAAATATCATATTCTGACACATATTATGGAATCTAAAAAGATGGCACTGATGAATTTATATTCAGGGCAGCAATGGAGAAACAGACATGAGTGGAGGGGAGGAGGGAGAAGGTGAGATGTATGGAGAGAGTAACATGGAAATTTACAATACCATATGTAAAATAGATAGCCAATGGGAATTTGCTGTGTGACTCAGGAAACACAAACAGGGGCTCTGTGACAACCTAAAAGGGTGGGATGGGGAGGGAGATGGGAGGGAAGTTTGGCAGGGAGGTTTGGGAGAGAGGGGACATGGATGTACCTATGGCTGGTTCTTGTTGATGTATGACAGAAAACCACAAAATTCTGTAAAGCAATTATCCTTCAATTAAACAAATTTTTTTGAAGAATATTGACATCAAAAAATAAACTAAAATATTAGAATAAAAAATCTTCTATTTCTTCTTGAGTAATTTTAGTTACTTTGTGTCTTTCTAGGAATTTGTCAATTTCACCTAGGTTATCTAATTTGTTGCCATACAGTTTTTCATAGCATCCCCTAGTAATCATTTTTGTATTTTTAATGTGAGTAGTGAAGTCTCCACTTTCATTTCTTTTTTAAAAATGAATTTGACTGTACCAGGTCTTAGTTGCAGCTCTTGGGATCTTTGATCTTTGTTACAGCATGCAGGATCTTTTAGTTGCAGCATGTGTAATATTTAGTTGCGGCATGTGAACTCTTAGTTATAGTATGTGGGATCTAGTTCCCTAACCAGGGATTGAACCCAGGCACCTTGCACTGGGGACACAGAGTCTTAGCCCCTGGACCACCAGAGAAATCCTCTCATTTATGATTTTAGTAATTTGAGTCACTTTTTCCTCATCAATCTAACTAAAGCTTTAGTAGGTTTGTTCATCTTTTCAAAGATTTAACCTTTTAATTTCATTGACTTTCTATAATGTTTTTCTAGTCTCTATTTTATTTGTTTCCATTCTAATCTTTACTCTTTCCTTTCATTTCCTTTGGGTTTAGTTTACTCTTTTCCCCCCACTGTCTTCAAGTGGAAGGTTAGGTTGCTGATTTGCAATCTCTTTTTTTAATGTTGACATCTATGTCTATACTGTTCTTGTAAGTACTGCTCTAGCGGCATTCTATAAGTTTTTGTATGTTGTGTTTGAATTTTTATTCATCTCATAGTATTTTCTAAATTCCCTTATGGTTTCTTCTTTTAAACCATTGCTTTTCCAGGAGTGCATTGTTTAATTTCCACTTTTTTGTTAATTCTTCCAAATTTTTTTCTGTTACTTAATTTTTAATTTCACTCCATTGTGATTGGAGAATATAGTTTGTACAATTTCAGTCACTTTAAGTTTACTGAGGCCTAGCATATAGTCTATCCTACAGAATGTTCCTTTGTACTTCAGAGGAATGAATATTCTTCTGTTGTTGGACATGTTGTTCTATAGATGTCTATTAGGTCTAGTTTGTGTATAGTGTTATGTAGGTCTTCAGTTTCCCTGTTAATCTTCTGTCTTGTAGTTCTAGCCATTATTGAAAGTGGAATATTGAAGTCTCCAACTATTATTATTGAATTCTCTATTTTTTCCCTTCAGTTCTGTCAATGTGTGCTTCACATATTTTGGGGTTGTGTTGTCAGGTACATATATATTATAATTATTATATATTCCTTATGTGTTTGTCATTATAAAATGTCCCTTTTTATCTCTAGAAACACTTTATTCTTAAAGTCTATTTTATCTGATATTAGTATATCCAGTGCAGCTTTCTTATGGTTGCTATTTGAATGGTATATATTTTTCCATCCTTTTATTTTCAGCCTCTTTGTATCTTTGATATAAAGTGTTTCTCCTGTAGGGAGGATATCACGATGGCAGAGTAGGAAGATGCTGAGCTCACATCCGACACAAACACATCAAAAATAGATCTACCTGTGGAATAATGCTCACTGAAAACAAACTGGACACAGGCAGAAAGTTTCTTCTATAATCAAGCCTGTAAAGAAAGAGCCATACAGAGTCAGTTATGGAGGGAGGAAAAGCAATCAGGTCAGGACCTGTGCCTCCAGGAGGGAACACAGGAGAGGAGGAGGATATCACTCAGAGATCCTCCCTGGGGAGTGAAGGGTTTGAACCACATACTGGGTATCTCAACCCAGGGGTCAGATACCAGAAATAATGAGTCCCCGTAGCTGGTTTGAAAACCAGTGGTACTTCAGGAGGGCTGTAAGAAACCCAGACTCCACTCATAAACAGAATGCACATGCTTGCTTACTCCTGGGAATAAGGTGGAAGAATCAGACTGAAATTGCCTGGGGCTTTGGCCAGTTTCCCATGACCATCCCAGTCCTTTCCCCGACCCCTCTAGCTCTGGCACAGCTTCCCCACTAGTATGAAGGCTGCTGTTGCTGAGCAGAGTACACACTTGGTGGGAACAGAGCTGGCTTAGCATGAGCATTGCACCTGCATGTGGTGAGGTCAGCCATTACTGGTGCCTGTGGGGGTGGTAGATCAGAAGTGGTCTGGAGCTCTAATTGACATGCTAGCACTGTCTTCCTGTGCACTGGCCCATACTAAGCACTGGCTCTAGCTTGACTAGCTTCTCCAGCACAGCTCTGCACTAGGACAAAGGCTGCTATTACCAAGGAAAGTGCACACTTAGGGGGGACAGAGATGGCTCATACCCGGCACTGCATCTGAATCTGAATGGTGTGAGGGCAGCCTTACTGGTGCTCATAGGAGTAGCAGATCAGGAGCAGTCTGGAACTCTGACTGGTGTGCTGGGACCATACTGGGAGCCTGGGTCAGCACCTCTTGCTCCAGCATTGCTACCTTTTGGGAAAGAAGTTGCTGTTGCCAGGAGTGGGGAGAGAACATACTTAGAGGCAACAGAATCAGTTCAGACCTGACCCTCAGCGCTTCTGTTTTAGCACCCTGGGACCCAAACCTGTCCCGAGTACTGGCCACTGAGCATAGGAGAAGTCCTGGCTCTGGCCCTAACCCCTCTGTTTCCAGTCCCACCTCCCACCAAGGTGATAACTGCCGTCAAACCTGAGGGGAAGATATGACCTGTGCTCACTTCAGGTCCAACTCTCCCACCAAAGCCACTGGGCACATGTAGACTATATAAAGGTGTGCCCATACAAGGACACGTCTTCAAGACCAGGATAGGTAACTGTTTCACCTAATTTCATAGACACAGAGAAAGTTAAAATCAGAAGACAGAGGAATTTGTTTCAAACCAAAGAACAATTTTAAAAACCTTGAAAAAACAACTAATAAAACAGAAAATTTATTAGGTAAAGAGTTCAAAGCATTTGAACTTGAGGAAAGAATAGATGAACACAGTGATAATGTTAATAAGGGACTAGCAAATACAAAAAGAACCTGTCAGAATTGAAGAATATAATAACTAAAATGAAAGGCACACTAGAAGGAATTAACAGTAGACTAAGTGATACAGAAGAATGTGTAAGTGATCTTGAATATAGAGTAATGGAAATCACAAAGTCAGAACAGAAAAAAGAAAAAAATTAAGAACAGTTTAAGAGGCCTCTGGGACAAAATAGAGCATACCAACATCCACATTAAAGGAGTCTCAAAAGGAGAAGAGTGAGAGAAAGGTGTCAAAAATGTAGTTGATGAAACTATGGCTAAAAAAAACCCATGAACCTGAATGAAACAGATATCCAGGTACAGAAAGTACAGAGGGTCTCAAATAAGATGAACCCAAACAGACCCACACCAAGACATATCATAATTAAAATGGTAAAAGTTAAAAGAGAATTATAAAGACAACAAGAGAAAAATAAAGTCATATACAAGGGAACCTCCAGAAAGCTATCAGCTGATTTTTCTGCAGAAGCTTTGCAGGCCTGAATAGGAAAACTCTACAAAGTAGGATACTCTGCCCAGCAAGATCATTCAAAACTGGTGGAGAGATAAAGAACTTCTCAGACAAGCCAAAACTAAAAGAGTTCATCAGTATTAAACTGACCCTAAAAGAAATGCTAAAGGATCTTCTTTAAGTTGCAAAAAAGGACTACAGCAAGAAGTTAAGGATCTATAGGAAAGGAAAAGTCCCACTAGTAAAGGCAAATATATAGTAAGGGCTTTGGATCAACCTTTCAGTGGTTAAATAAGCTATAACTAAGATTTAAAAAGAAAAATTATAAAATCAGCTATAACAAACCATTAAGGAATAAACATGAGAATGTAAAATATGACAGCAGAAATACAAAGCTGTGAGAGAGGGGAATAAAAAAATGTAGATCTCTTAGAAAATTTTTGTAGTGAAATATGACTACCAGTTTAAAAACAAATACACAGGTTAACATATATGAACAACATGTTAGCCACAAATCAGAAACCTACAATAGATACACAAAAACTAGAGAGAAAGGAACACAAACATGCATATGTGCTCAGTCACCTCATTTGTGTCCATCTCTTTGTCACCCCACGGACTGTAGCCTGCCAGGCTCCTCTGTCCATGGGATTCTCCAGGCAAGAGCACTGGAGTGAGTTGCCATGCTCTCCTCCAGGGGATCTTCCTGACCCAGAGATCAAACCCCTGTTTTCTGTGTCTCCTGTATTGCAGGTGGATTCTTTACTACTGAGCCATCACGGAAGCCCCTGAACACAAACACCGCTTAAGAAAATCATCAAACAACAAGTGAAGAAACTAAAAGAAGAAAAAAGGAACATCTTTGGAGAGATGTCTATTTAGGTCTTCTGCCCATTTTTAATTTTTTTTTAATATTGAGCTTCATGAGTTGTTTATGTATTTTGGAGATTAATCCTTTGTCCATTGCCTCATTTGCAAATTCTTTCTCTCATTCTGAAGATTGTTTTTTCATCTTGTTTATGGTTTCCTTTGCTATGAAAAAGCTTTTAGGTTTAATTAGGTCCCATTTGTTTATTATTTTTTAAAATTTTCATTACTCTAGGAGGTAAGTCTAAAAAGATCTTGCTGTGATTTATGTTAAACAGTGTTTTGCCTATGTTTTCTTCTAAGAATTTTTAAAATTAATTTATTTAATTGGAGGCTAATTACTTTACAATATTGTAGTGGTTTTGCTATACATTGACATGAATTAGCCGTGGGTGTACATGTGTCCCCCATCCTGAGTATTTGGTCTTACATTTAGGTCTTTAATCCGTTTTGAGTTTATTTTTGTGTGTGGTGTTAGAGAATGTTCTAATTTCATTCTTTTATATGTAATTGTCTAGTTTTCCCAGGACCACTTAGTGAAGAGGCTGTCTTTTTTCCATTGTGTTAATATATTCTTGCTTTCTTTGACATAGATTAGGTGACCATAGGTGCATGGGTTTATCCCTGGGCTTTCTAACCTGTACAGTTGATGTATATATCTGTTTTTGTGCCAGTACCATATTCTCTTGATTACTGTGCTGCTGCTGCTAAGTCGCTTCAGTTGTGTCTGACTCTGTGCAACCCCATAGATGGCAGCCTGCCAGGCTCCTCTGTCCATGGGATTCTCCAGGCAAGAGTACTGGAGTGGGTCGCCAGTGCCTTCTCCGCTTGATTACTGTAGCTTTGTAGTATAGTTTGAAGTCAGGGAGACTGATTCCTCCAGCTGTTTCTCTTTCTCAAGATTGCTTTGGCTATTCAAGGTCTTTTGTGTTTCCATACAAATTATAAAATGTTTTGTTCTTATTCTGTGAAGAATCCCATTGGTAATTTGATAGGAATTGCGTTGTATCTGTAGACTGCTTTGAGTAGTATAGTCATTTTCACAATACTAATTCTTCTAATCCAAGAACATGGTATCTCTCTCCATCTGTTTGTGTTGTCTTTGATTTCTTTCATCAGTGTCTTATAGTTTTTGGAGTACAGGTCTCTTTTGGTAGGTTTGTCCCTTGAGGTAGGTTTATTCCTAGGTATTTTATTCCTTTTGTTGCAATGTTAAATGGGATTGTTCCCTTAATTTCTCTTTCTGGTCTTTTGTTGTTAGTGTATAGGATATACAAGAGGTTTCTGTGTATTAATTTTGTATCCTGCAACTATTAAATTCATTGATGAGCTCTAGTAGTTTTCGAGTGGCATCTTAAGGATTTTATATGTATAGTATCATGTCATCTGCAAACAGTGACAGTTTTACTTCTTTTCCAATTTGGATTCCTTTTCTTTTTCTTCTCTGATTGCCATGGTTAGGACTTCCAAAACTGTGTTGAATAAGAGTGGTGAGAGTGGATATCCTTGTCTTGTTCCTGATCTTAGAGGAAATGCTTTCAGTTCTTTACCATTGAGAATGATGCTTGCTGTGGGTCTGTTTTATATGGTCTTTATTATGTTGAGGTAGGTTCCCTCTATGCCTACTTTCTGGAGTTTTTATCATAAGTGGGTGTTGAATTTTGTCAGTTTTTTTTTGCATCCATTGAAATGACCATGTGGTTTTTATTCTTTAATTTGTTAATATGGTATATCACATTGATTGATTTGTATATATTGAAGAATCCTTGTGTTCCTGGGATAAATCCCACTTGATCATGGTATACGATTCTTTTAATGTGTTGTTGGATTCAGTTTGCTAGTATTTTGTTGAGGATTTTTGCCTCTATGTTCATCAGTGATACTGGTCTATAATTTTCTTTTTTTGTGATATGTTTGTCTGGTTTTGGTATCAGGGTGATGGTGGCCTCGTAGAATGAATTTGAGAGTGTTCCTCCCTCTGCATTTTTTTTTAGAAGGATAGGTATTAGCTCTTGTCTAAATGTTTGAGAGAATTCACCTGTGAAGCCATCTGATCCTGGAGTTTTGTTCATTGAAAGATTTTTAATTACAGTTTCAATTTGATTACTTGTGATTGGTCTCATTTATATTTTCTAATTCTTCCTTTCTTTAGTTGTAGCATGCAGGATCTTTTTAGCTATGGCATACAAACTCTTAGTTGTGGAATGTGCAATATAGTTCCATAACCAGGGATCAAACCCAGACCCCCAGTATTGGGAGCACAGAGTTTTAGCCACTGGACCAGTAGGGAAGTCCCACTCCTTTGATGAACTTTGAATAGCACTGAGAAGTATGAAATGGTGAGTGACTAAAGATGAGGATAAGCAGGTAGAGGCTAGGACTGATGGGGACTGCTAACCTCTATCAGTTGCTGTGGTTATTGGAAAAGAGTCTTATAGTACTTCAAGTAGGTTTTAAGAAAATAGAATTTAGTTTTAAATGGATAATAATGGTGGCTATGTGGTAGGTGGGAATGAAATAGTTATTGGCCAAGATCCAAGGCTGGGAGACTAGTGAGTACATAATAGTTATACCATATACAAGATGGCAAGGGCAAGAACTAGGCCAATTGTAGAGTTGGAGAGGATAGATTCTAGAGATCTTTATAAGAGTAGAACACAACTTTAGTGTGAACTAAGATATGTATATATTGGTGATGGCATTGTTGAATAAAAGATGACTTCCAGGTTTCTGGCTTGACTTGAGGAAAATGGTACCATTGACTGAGATAAGGAATACAGGAGGAACAAGTTTGGTTGTCAGAGTGACAATAAGTTCAGTTTTAGACATGTTTAGGGAATTCAAGAAGATGCAGTTATTCAGAAATGAGATCTAAGAATTCTAGCTCAGAGGAGAGGTGAACGTAGGAAGTAGAGATTTAAGAACTACTAGCACTTAGCTAATGGTTAAAAGCATGGGGATATATGAGATTGCTTACGGAGATTATAATAAGAGGAACAGGTTAATGTTAGTACCCAAGGGAATGTTTAGAAGATGGGTTAAGAAATAGCCCAGAAAGAAGATTTCTATCTTCTATCCTTGGTTTTTCTTTTTTTATCTTATACATTCTCTGTAAGAAGTCTTATGTATACTAATGGCTTTAAATACTTTTTTTTTTCAAAATTCAGTTTATTTTTTCTAACTCTGTACTGGACTCTTCTTCCCTGAATGTTTCAAACTTAGCATCTAAAACTTAGATTATTCACCTCAAATAATATCATCATCATTAAGAATATCAGGCCCTCCTTTCCGAGGGTATGGGCATAATTGGGGGGTGTCATCCTACCAGGTGGTCTCATTGGGCATCTCTGTACCCTTAGTCTGTTATATTTTGGTTGCTCTTGAGTGGAATACAGAGAAATCAGGAGATGGAGGTGAGCAAAAGACTGCAAGCCACCCAAAAGCCCACTATAGAAAGATGGATAGAGGACTGAGGGATGACTGTACCTCAATATCAAGTCAGTGAAACAGGGACCACAGCCCTGAAATCACCCTGGACTCTTATCATACAGTGCAGAATAAATGCAAGGTTTGGAAGTTTATCAATATGATGCCATTTTAATAAAGCTCAATACTAAATATACATTTCATAGGATTTATATATATGTGCTATAATTATGAAGGAAAGCAAGGGAATCAACACAATGGCCACAATGCTCCCCTATGGGGTATGTTTTGGGGAGAGTGAAGGTGTATGACATTCTCGTGCTCAAGGGGAGTGGTGACTTCATGGGTTTTTACCATATGCTTCATATGTTATATGTTCTTATGTAAGTACCAAATATTATGCAAATAAAAAACCAAGAAACCAACTAGACTTAACAGACATATATACAGAACATCCCACCCAACAACATCAGAAATACACATTCTTTTCTGGTGCATGGGGGACATTCTGCAGGAGAGACCACATGTTAGACCACAAAACAAATCTTTATAAATTAAAAAGATTTAAATCATTACAAAAAATAACACAATACTAGATGATATTGAGCACTTACTACATGCTTAATACTATTCTTGGTGCTTTATATATTTTAAGTCATTTTAATTTTCTCAACACCTTGATGAAGTTGCATATTATATTCATCTTCAAGATGAGGAAATTGATACATGGAATGGTAAGTAACCTATCCAAGGTCACACAGCTAGTAAGTGGCTATGTCTGAATTTAAACCTAAGCAGTCTGTCTCTAGATCTAATAATTTTTTTTTTGAGCCAATAATTTTAACCACTATGCTCTACTACCTTTTTTAAGTTTCTTCTCTCTCCTTTGTTCTTAATTTCAGTTAATGTCACCATCCATCTGGCTTTTTAAGCTAGCAAATTCAGTGTCATCTTCTTGACTTATCCCTATTCCTTATCCTGAACATTACACACACACTATTATTTTGCCTTTTCTCTAGTCTCTTTTTAATCTGTGTGTATGTGTGTGTGACAGACTTTTTTTTTTTTTTTACTGCACTAGGTCTTCATTGCTGTGTGCAGGCTTTCTCTATTTGCCGTGATCAGGGGCTACTCTTTGTTGTGGTACACGGGCTTCTATTGCAGTGACTTCTCATGTTGCAGAGCATGGGCTCTAGGGTATGTGGACTTCAGTAGTTGTGGCATGTGAGCTCAGTAATTGTGGCTTACACACGGGCTTTAGAGCACAGGCTCAGTAATTGTGGAGCATGGGCTTAGTTGTTCCACTACATGTGGGATCTTCCCAGATCAGGGATCAGGGATCAAACCCATGTCCCCTGTACTGGCAGGCAGAATCTTATCTACTGGGCCACCAGGGAAATCTAAACGCTTATTCTACTCTTATTAGACTATTACAATAGTCATGCCTGTGGTCTTCCTGCCTCCTGTCTCTTTCCCATTCCAGCTTTCTTCTATACTTTGCTATAGCTCCTATCCTACTGTTCATTACTTTGCTTAAAAG